CCTTTGCCGAATAAAGCTGTGTTTCGAGCACCAGGAGCGGCTGGAGCGGCAGGATGTGTCTGGCGGGGAACGGGAACATGGGCAGGGAGCAGTGGGTTAGCAAGGCAGCCGGAGTCGGAACCTAAATGCTTTCATCACTCAGCTGGAAAGGCACGCACGCTCCACTGGAACGCCACCGCACGCACAGCCTCCACAGTGGAGTGGATTGGAGTCCGGGGAATTGGCCCAAGTGAACGTGAGATGAGGGGTCGCATTCAGATACCAATTGACCACCGGAGTGGCATAAACTGTTACTTTAACTGAAAATATGTTTGCTAGGCCAACCTACCGCTGCTCCGGTTTATTGACAAATGATTGACTGCTCGGGCTTATCTTAACTGTGAGTGACAGTTCAGTTGGTTAACTCATATGTTATGGAAGAGTCTTCAACTCGGCTGATTCCGACTGCCGTGCTGACACTGTAATTCACTTGCTGGTGCAAATAAATATTCGAGAAATGGTCTATTAATAGAAAATCACTTCAGCGATAAGCGATAATTTGAAGGTAATCGGTTGGCTTAATCGTGATATTAACCATAAATTATTTCCTTCAGCTTCACACTTGCAGGCAGTAAATTCACCCAAAGCCCGCAAAAAGGCAACTGCTTTCATAGACTGGAATACAAGAATTTTGTATGGTGGTGCAAGGTGCTATCAAACATAAAAAGCATTTTAAATAGTTCCTTTTAAATTGTTCGATTTAAAGCAACTCTTTTAAAGAGAAAAACAAGAGCTTTAGTTTGTTGAATTTAGCCTTTTAATTAAAAGTGAGAGGCGAAATCAATCATGGTAGACAATCATCTTTGACATCCGTAATAGTTTAAATAGTCATCCATCTATGCAGCTACCTATTACGTATTCCATCAGACAAACAGCCAACATTGACCTCGTGGCCATAAATCTCTCAATTGGAAAAACATGTAGGTTTATGATATGTGCGGGTATGTATGTGCAGCTGAAAAACAAAAGTAAGTGCCTTTTTCATAAATCAAATCACAATTCAGAAATCTTTGCCCATTGAGCTTTGCCGCTGAGCCCTTTCATTGCGCAATTTCAATTCAATTTATATTCTGCCGCCTTGTTTTTTGTTGTGCAAAATCGAATGAAAAATATGAAAATGCATATAAGCGCAGGATGTTTTCTAATGAACTTTGACACATGAAAGTCGGCAGACCGTGCGAGCCCCTGAATCGCGTGTCCATGTCAAAAGTCGAGGGGAAGGCAGCTGGAAAACACAATGCCCCTAGCTGCAATGAATGAAAAATCAGCTTGACGCATGCAACTTTTTTTGAATTTGTTTTTCTCTGTTTTTGCCAAGTGCCCTGAGGGCAAAACTTAACTGACTGATGGGTTGACTAACTGAGGGACAAACTGAAGGACTGAAGGACTGATGGACTGTTGCATACCCCAGTCACTACAAAAGCTGACTTCGGACTGGATCGAAGCCTGAATGCCATCGAAATCGCTTTCATCTCAGCCTCTCGGGCACAAGAAATTATTTACTCTGCGATTTTCGCCAGATATGTTGATGGCACTCTCTTGAGTATGCAAACTCAAGTGGCTGCTCATCGAAAATTGAAAAATATGCATAAGTTCGAGTGGCGTGGCATCAGAGATTCTGTTTTCCCAAAATGGAGGAATATTTATCCTTGTTGAGCTCTTCACCTTCTTTGATACGTAAACACAAGCTTAATGTATTCATGAACAATCTACGCCCCTACAAATCACACAATATTAGCCAACAAGCAATATGGTTAGGTAAATTCCTAAAGTGAAACTAAAATTCCAAAATTTCACAATGAGACGAACAGTTTGCTGGGTTTGTGCCCAATATGCCCACTTCGGGGGAAGCAAAGGGTAGCCGCAGAACGGCGAGCTTATCGCCAAATCACGGCCAACTGCAGCGAAAATAGTTGGTTAGTTCGTTAGTTGATTATTACACGTACTGCCACCGTTGCCTCATATTTTTTGTTTTGCGGTCGCCACTGCAGTTGCAGTTGCAGCTGCAGCTGCAGTTGCTGTTGTGGCAGTTGCTTATCACAGCTTAATGGGTCACTGCATTGGGGAAAATTCGTGCTGACGCGGCGTGTGCGTAATTCCGCAGGATTACGTATCCACGAGATCCTCCGGACGTCGCAGCCCTCACGCAGAGAGGCTCACATTATGCAAACTTGGCAATAAAAATTCAATTAAGCTGCAAGGACGCGCTGTCAAGTGGGGCATGCGGAGGAGGCTTTTCCAACTTTGCCGATAAATCACAAAATTTTCTAAAAGCCCGGCGGCTGCAACAATAACACACTGTGACATGCTGTGCTGCCGCTCACGACTTTGATGCACGTTTTAATTATAATTTTGACGCCAACTGTTTAAACACAGTAACTCACACACGCAACGATAACAGAGCAACAACAATCCGCACTAATTGTTTGCCTTCAAATCGGTGGGAGGGGTTTTGGGGCTAGGAAAAGCCAGGGGTACGTAAAGCCCCACATGTGTGGTGCGGCACCAAGGAGGTGGGGGCAGCCACACAAAGGACTCGCAGGCAGGACCACCAGGACAATGGCCAGCTCACATGCACAGACGCTCTCACTCCGCTCAGAAGCGGAACATGGTCAGCCCGAGTCACGAAACCATCTGCCCCAGGCACTGAGCCAAGAAAATACACTGAGAAGTTCCGGGAGTTTCAAGGATTTCAGATTGTGTTCCAATAACGAGGGTCGAGTATGATCATAAGCATTGTGAGCTCACCATTTACTCTTGTAAGGTCTTATGAGTTAGTTACTGAAATATAGGTATCGAATATTTAATATATGCATATAGATAAATGTTTAATAGCTCAGCAATTATTCCAATGTTTTCATCATAAGTAATGGAAGCAATATAAACCATGTTTTGGAATACCTGACGCACCAAAATCATTGAATATCATCAAACGAAGATAACCATTTACACGAATACGATAAAGATTTCGGTTCAGCAAAAACAATAAAGCATTGCCCATGAGCCATGTAAAAACAAATATACAATCTCCTTAATCAGAAATGGCATGAGAATGACCGCATTGATGATAAACCCTTTTTGAATTGCTCACCTAACTGATTATGAGCAATTGAACACGTCAGGTCGATAATGCCTAATTAAAAAGGCGAACGATTTTAATGTAGATAAAATTATAAAGTCCACAAGAGTCCAAAGATAAATCGTATAAGTATGCCCCTGGAAATCAGGGAATGAAAATACGTTGAGGCAAAAGTAGTTTTATGTTGCGTGTGCTTGGTTCAAATAAATCCTTCTAGATACGGCTTTTCGCTCAGTGCACTTTGGCGAAAGGCGCAACTTTCGACATGTGACCGTGTGCCATCTGTGAATAAATGAGAGTGTTTTTGGCGACTGCGGCGCCTCCGCCATGTGCCTGAGTCCACGGATGGGAATGATGCAGGGGCATCGGGTGTGTGTTAGATTTATGGCCCGAGGCTATGGATACTGGCAACTGTGCCACAAGCTGGGTGTGTGAGTGTGTATAAGCGCTACTCAATTAATACTCATCAGCGTGACATTAGTGCCGTTTGCAGACGAGTGGCAGGATGCAGGAGGGCCCAGATACAAGGAGGAGGTATGAACACGTGCACGTGGATCGGGGCAATTGTTTGGGAATCTGGCAGGACCCTGTCCACGTCCACGTCCACGTCCTCCTCCCCATCAGTCGATTCGGCTCTCAATCACGGCTCATTTGCCAGACGTCTTATTCAGCTCATCAATAAATCGAGGCCATAAATCTACTTCAAGTGTGCGCCTCATCATCAACAGACATTTTTTATGGCGCTACCGAACTTTAAAGCGAATAAATATCAAACGCTGTCGCATCCTAGCTGCGTTTTTATGGCAGAAAGAAAATTTAATGCGACTTTGACTTTAATTAGGCCATAAAGTGGGGAACTACAGACGCAAAGCGTGGCCGAACTCAAGTTCAAGGAGTAAATAAAGCAAGTAACCCAGTAAGCAACGGAAAAGGGAAAAGCCGAGTTGTTCCAGGGGAAAACTTGACCAAATGGAAAATGCCTGCAAATCACTGGGCGTGAATTAAATGTAATTGAAAGCGATTGACAAATAGAACTGCGGATTGGCAGGGCGCGAGGGAATTGCAATTGGGATTGACCTAAGCTCAATTAAACGCTGAACCCTCTTCGAGATATTTTCGAGTACTGGAGACGAATAAGATACAAACGAAGCAGTTGAGCAGAAAAAATAAAAAGACAGTCTCGTCATTTTAATACACCTACAAGTGACGGATTTCAGCCGTTTACTCTTTTAATTTGTACTCTTTTAATTAAATAAGGGATTATATGAATTTAATAATATTTAGGGCTGCGATAGAACTATCGACCTTTATGCCTACGGCATTAAGGTATTGCAAAACTATCCCTTCCGCTCTGCTGCCTTTCAATAGCCCCAGAGATCCCTCTCGAAATTCATTTGCCTGACAAGCTCTGACAAAGCGAACTTTCGGATGCAACTTTTGGCAAGTATTAACCCTAGAGTTGACCTTTCCGAGGACTCGGCTAGCAGTCAGCAAAACAAAGGCGGTCTAGTTTCCACTTCCGGCAGCTGGAAACTTTGCAGAGAAATAATATTTACTTTTAGCACAGCGACCTTCTGTTCAGCTTAGTCAAAAATCAACGGGCGTTAGATAAGTTATACTATGTTTGGCTTGCGATTGATAGCAGAGCGGCATTTGTGCGATTGAGATAAGATCCAACTTATCTTTGGAAATATTCAAAAATCAAAATGTATTTTATTGGTTGCCAGGCAGGGCGATGTTTGCCCTTTTTGGTTGTGTACACGCATCAAGCCAAATCAACTTTCAGTTCGTACAATTTCTAAAGCCATATGAACAGCAAAGCGCACTGAAATTTACATTGGCGTTGAAAAATGTTTACAAAAATATTTCAAAAGTCATTTACCAGTCAAAACGCCCTTGGCGAGACAGTTAAGTCGACGAAAACTTCCAAGTGCCTCAGATATATGTTCTCTTGATAAATGTATTTAATACTCGTCACTTAACACATATTTAATCATTTTCTGTGTACCTTTTCATTCACAAATGCTTGGCATTTAAGCTATTTTCCTTTGATGACTTTTTCCAACAATATTAAAAACCACACACAAGTATTTTCCGGCAGCACTCGCGGCAAAAGTAGCACCGAACTCAACGAAATTTAATGAAAATCCGTGTTTTCCGCCCGGCCAACGTTGCGTATGAGCGACGACGACAAACTGAAGCCAAAGTCTATGGCCGAAGAGGCAAGAGCCCGGTTGCATCGAACATGTTGCAGTTGGATGGCATGACGAATCTCAGCGAACGTGTTGCGAGTGTGGGTGGTGGGAGGTGGGTGGTGGCCTTCAAGGGGAAGGGGCGGTTCCGCTGGCTTATCACTAAAAATTAAGGCACAGATGTAACGCACAATAAACGAAACAAAACAACAAAACAGCGGGGGGTTGCGAGGTTAAAGGGGCCGACGAGGTTACAGCGGTTGCACGCCATTTCAAAGGCTTATAAAACTATTTAGGCCATATTCGCGGTTGCGACCTGGACTCTGCATATTTTTCACCAAATTAAATAAATGTATTTTGGGGAGAAATAAACGAAAGCACTTGGCTTATAATTTCGAAAAAATGTAAGCTTTTGTGTTCTTAAGAACACTGTCGACTAATTTATGCAAAATCAGGGATGTGAACCCGTATCATCTTGACAATGGTTCGGTTCGGGGTTCGAACCGCAAGTAATAACAAGGTTCCGGCTTGCAAACCGGTTCATCAATATGCTGGAACGCGGCTGCGGTTCAAATCAGGGGGGCTTGTTGTTATAAATAAGAAAAACCAAATAAATTACAAATCCATATTTATTCTCATTCTTTATAACAAAAGATAACATTTAACATTAAGATAATGTTAAGATTTAACATTAATAAGATAATCATGCAGAAATGAACATGATAATCGCGTTATATGGAACGGTGAAATTAATCGCAGTATATTGGGAAGGCGAAATATTAAGTAAATTGCTGGTTATTGTATGATACATTTAAATGGACATCAGATGCTAAAAGTATATTTTCCTCAATGAGTGAAAATCGCTGCATTTAATGTATTTAATGCATTTAATGTAATGGACTTGATGACAACTTTAACATTATTTGGTTAAAATTTGTCTTTGCTTAAACAACATATTAGGGTATTTAGTTCTAAATGTTATAACAAACACACAGTACCCAAAATATAAAGGGTTTGCCAACAATTAGTAGTTACAATAATTTTGGTTCGGTTTTCGAACCACTCCGGTTAGAAGCGGTTCACCGCTCCGGGCTGCTTTGCGCTGGTTAATTATATATTTATTTCGAACATATCTTGAGCAACTAAAGCACTGCTCAACTTTTGAGAAACTGCTTTTCTTTAACCTTGTTCCCGCGAAATCCGCCGAATTGAGGCAGAGGCTGTAGTGATGCGCATCTTGTTACCAATTCCAGCTTATCTGTTAATGGCCGTGAGAAAAGGCGGCTCAAATTAGGGAAATGGAAAAGTGCAAGGGGTGGGAGTGGAAGTGGAAGTGGAAGTGGGAGCGGCGGGATTGCGTGGGCTTCCTCTGACGTGAAGATGTCTCTCGTTCTTGGCCAAATTGTAGCGCGTTACTTGGCTGTTGTTGCCTTTAAATGATTTTCCATTTGCACATTTCACGCGTCCAAACGGCTGGCTCGTTTTTTTCTTGCCGCTGGCTGGGAAATTCGCGTTCATTCATAAAAAAGAAGGTGAACACGCTTGTGGGCGTCGGAAGAGCGTCGGGAAAGCGTCGAACGATGAGCGTGGAAAACGGAAAACAATAAAACGCGAGGCAGCGACGCGACTTCGACGCCGGCAGACCAGACAACCAGGCGTGCTAAGTGAAAATCTGGGGGTGCGGAAAACGCGGGATGTGGGCGGGCGGAAAGCCTTGTGGGTGGCACGAGGCAGGGCGGAGGGAGGCACCCAAGTTTTTTGGTCGTTCGCAATTTTCGCTCTCATTGTTGTTGCGGGTCTTACTTTTCGCATTATTTATATTAATACACATCGCATTCGTATCAATGAGTGTGTTTTGGGCTGGGAAATCTTTGTGTCTGTGTGTGTCTTATTTTTATTTATTTTCCTTTTACCCAACGCGCCCGAAAACAAAACAAGAAAGCACGAAGCGAGCAAAAAATGAATGCCACATATTTGTTACTTTTTACTGCAAACACAAACGGAGGAACAAAAAGAAATTTTCAAACAACAGACCCGGAAAAAGGAACAAAACTTCGAACACTGCGGAAAACTGTTATCTGCACTGCGAAAAATTGTATTTTAATACCCCTTTTTCTATCGGGTAAGGGAGTTTAAAAACTGCATTTACTTGGGAAACGATTTAAAATGTGTTTATATACAAGCAAGCCGTAGAAACAAGCTCCTGAATGAAAATTAACAAAACTTTTTAATTGTTAAATTGATTTCCTTATTCTTAAACCCTGAGCTTATCGTTATTAATCGCCTACGAATTGAGTTTGCAAAGAGCTCAAAGTTTTCTTTTGTGTTGCCCTCCTTCGCATAAAGAAGGAAACCCCTTGTTCCATTGGATTTTTTCTGTTTCTGCCAGCAGGAAAAATAAAACAGAAATAAACGGAAAATGTCAACCCAAACAAGACAAAGAACGAGCTGCTCGTCGATAAGGTCGTCCAAATCAAAGCACACACAGAATCGGGTTAGGATTGTTGGACGCAGGACACGCAGGACAAGGACACGAAGGTAGTCCTTTCCCAAAGCCAGGATAAGCTCCAATTCCTGGTAGGATCTTCAGTTCCTTTCGCCGAAGTTCTGCATACCAATGCCATGATTTATTAGTCTCATTAGCGGCTTTCTGCGGCGCGGTTGCCCCCAAGGACCTGCAGCTCCATTGGATCACTATTGATAAGGGTCGGATTAGCGTCGACAAGGCTCAAATTTCAGGGGCACAGAACGAGCACTTTACATTAGAGAACTTGTGTCGTTCGCTTACGTAAGCCATTTTTCGCAATTTATTTCATGCCAAAAACCTGCGTTTATTTTTAAAAGCAAGCAGCGAAGAAACCCGCAATTACACTTATCTGTGTGCTGTGCAAATAACTCACGGCTCATTTGCAGCTGCACCTGAAGGCTTATTAAGACATGGCGCAGGAACCCTCAGTCGGAACCCAAAAACCATCCTATGTGCCATGCTACCCGTACCCGTACCCGTACCCGAGTTATGGGACCTGCCAGCCGAGTTAAAACACAAGGGGCGAAATGAAATAATGATACCGGGCGCACACAGTTGGCATTTTCGATTTGCGTCAACGTTGTCGGCCGCTGTCAGTGTCCGGAACATGGACGAACCCGGTCCGTAGAAGCCTCATTCCCCATGCCCATGCCCTCGCGGCAGAAGGGAGCTGCCCGCTCATGTAAAATTGATGTACAAGCGGTCCCGTCTGGTCTGCACTCGAAATAATTATTAATAAAAATAATGTGCCATGAAATGTTTTCGTTGTCGTCCTCGCCGTTGCACTTCCGCCTCCCCGATCGCCCCATTCCCGCTGGTGGATGGTAGGTTCTCGGGTAATTAACACTCAGCGGGAACACTCAGTCAGCTGAAAGACTGATCCGGGACCCATTTTGCCGGCCAAGAAGTGGCGCACTTCGCTGGTCTTATGAGTTTTATGGCTCCTAAGACGTCGCGGCGAACTTTGTAGATGGGTTACTTAAAAGTTGAAGTTGAGATAGTATCTCTGTTGAAAGTGAAAGTGCATTCGCATGGGTAATACTGGAAAGAGGCAGATGTAGAATTGTTTTCTGCACAAACGGAATATAAACAATATTTATTATTATCGTTAATTAGCTGGACAGCCTTCCCGGCCTATGCATTATTCACAGTACCAGCAAGGACTAATTAGCAATTGTCAAGCAGCCTTGGACAAAAGTGGGCCTCCTTCTGGTGGAAATCCAGGCTTACCCCTTGTTTGCCTTTTCTTTGTCGTATTGTGCCTGTTGCTAATTATGGCATTTTTCTTGCTAGCACTTACTGCCAAATGGCTGAGAGCACATCGGGCATTAAGTAGCTGATTAACGCCATCGGTGCGATTCTCATTCCGCTTTCAATTAGCCACGAATCCAATTTTGAATTTATTAAGTCGATTTTTTTAAACGGGCAGTATAATTACATTTTATTTTGCATTAATTGCTGCCGCCTTCTGCCGGTCGGTTAGGCAAACATTTCGTTTTCGCATATAACTTTTATTTATATTTGAAAACTTGGCACAAACTGTGCCACACAATGTGCAGTGGATGACGCAAGACGTATATTTTCTGCTTTTGGCAGACGACTGGTAAGCCAAACGCGAATTTAGCTGCATTGAGCATAGATATTCGCTCTTGTCTGGCATTTGCACTGGCATTGCAGTAACTCGCAGGCATTTTAATTACTTGCAAATTAATGGCACATATGTTAGGCGCAGTCAAAGTCCGCGTTGCGCATACGCCGCGTTGTCCGTCCGCAGTATTGACAGATTAAAGCAGAAAAGGCCGCAATTATGCGAGTAATAAATAAACAGCAATGGGCGCACAGCTGCTTGTAGTGTGTCCATTGAGGAATATCCAAAGATGCCGCGTATCTTTGCCGCGGACAGGCGATAAATAGATACATACGTGTAGATACTTGAATGAAGGCAGAGCAGCGCACTTGAAGTGCTTTCATTTAGCAGCATATTATTAAGCAATTCTCTAGTTAATTTAGTTGAATGAAAGGTTTGGTATAATATAGATTATTCCATTTAGCAAACCAGCTAGAAAATCAGAGGTACTTGATTGCTTCAAATTCGGCTGCCAATCATCGCATAAAGCTGCCTATTCACAATCTGGCCATTTCCGCACCTAGCCGCATGAAATAAATAATATAAGTCCGCGAAATGGGCGGCGAATCGGGAAATATGTAAAATGCGGAGCGCGACGAACGGCGGCGGAAAATTAGTGAGCCAGGGGCACCCAGCGATGCCGCATTTCGATGCCCAGAAAGTTGGCAACAAATTCGCGCGCCGTTTCTCAAGTGCCGTTCGCCGCCACGCCCACCGCCCATCGCCCACCGCCCATCGCCCAGCCACGCCCACAGTCGCCACCAGAAAAGTGAAGTGTTCGAGAGCGGGTCCCACTCCAAAACATTTTGTTGGCGCTGAGCGCCCCATTGAAACGTTTCATGCCATAAACTTTTGCAGCTCGAGTTCTCGCACACATTTTTTATTGGTGTGTTGTTGGTGGGCATGGAAATGTGCATTGTGAAATATTCAATAACCATAATGTTTGCCTTGACCACGACGCACATGCTGAGTGCCAAAATGAATTCCTTGGCTGGCTATCCTTGATGGATTCTCAAAGGACACGGCAGCTTGGTCCATGTGCAGGATACAAAGACAAATAAATGTTTGCCAAAATATGCGAAGTATAAATGGGGGCTAAGTAAACATTTGGCAATGTTCCCTGCTTTTCCACATAATTTTCCACATATTTGTGCTACGGTTTCTAGTGAGTTTTTATGTTTATCCTTAATCATATGTTCCTGGTTACTTGTTATGTTTCTGGTGTCAATGATCTTCATCGGAAATTAATTGCCAGAACTTAAAACATTAAATTACCCATCCAGCCAAGTTCATTGCCTCACTTCGGCAAAGTTTTGCCATAAAAATGCAAACACATTTTTGGCTTTTGTTGTCTGCTGAAATTGATTAATTCATTTTTATGTTTACAAGTTCGTGTGTGCCCCTTGTTATCCATTTATCCATTTGCCATTAGCGCCTTTGTCAGCGCACTCGAAATGCTTTTGTGATAGATTTTTTATATCAGCCAGACAGCATCTAGCCGCGGATTTATGTATCCCCATTTTCCCTATACTGTGTGCACATATGTATGTACATAAACATCTTTTCGAGATCTCTTGGCCAGCGGACAGTTGGCCATTAAATGGAAGACCTGCGCCCCTCGTCGCCCAGAGTTCATCATATTTCATTTCGCTCAGTTTACATTCAATTTGCTTTCGACATTCGCTCACAATGGTGTTTGAGCCAAAACATTTGGTTTCACTTTGCGCATAATTAACTTTTGCAGTTGCCGCCCTTGCGAGCAATTTGCTTATTTATGTACGGCTTCGATGATTATGAATTCAGGAACTTTGCTCGCAATTCGCCCATTTTCAGCTTTCAGATTAGAAAGCGCGAAAGAAAGGCCCGGATAATTATGCATAAATTACTGGCGTAATGTGTATACGCAAACTGAATTATTCGGCTTTGCTGAGTTACGCATGCAAATTCAGTGTGAATCAACTATAAATATGAATACCTAAAACTTACAAATTTCAAGAAGTACCAGTGATATCAGTGTGCTTTCATTTAATAGGGCACCGAGTTTAGTGCACATTTCCCACTATTGTGTTTCGATGGAAATTAAACTTTTGTACGGTTCCTTTCTGCGCTGTGCCACGTTGCGTATGAGTAATGAGCAGCAGCATTCGATTTCGCGCTCTTGGAGCGATGCCAAGCGTGCTCAGACAATGGACCATTGGACCACTGGACCATTGGACGGAAAAGTGGGCAGGAAAGTGTGGGAAACTGGGGAGCGTAGCAGACACAGACGCAGCGACGGCGAGGAATAAAAGCCATTGCCAAAATAGCGAAGTAATTGCAGATCGCCAAACTCGTGCAGTCAGTGCGAAGGAATGTGAGTACGTGTATAAATAATTCGGGACCTCCTGCCCGAGATGTACCAGTATTCCAAGTGCTATTTATACGCGCTATTTATACGCAGCTTGATTTGGCTTCGCTTCGCAGCCGCTTTTCGGCAAGCTTATGTTGTCTGACGCACAATGGTCTTTGCTCTTTGATTACGCATACGCCCCGTTCCCCAGGCAGCCTTAATTTGTGCACGCGTGTGCGCTTAATTGTCAGCAAAGTGCACTCCACCTTTCAGTTGCTTAAATGTAATTGCACACAAGTGCAATTAAACAGCTTGGCGCATGCGGCGCGAATTTCCACGCCTGGCAGGTCGCCTCGGAAAACTCCCAGCTCCCAACTCCAAGCTGTCAGCTGTGCGTTGCCAGGAGCAACTTAGCTGCCGATGGCATTGGGGAGCAGCTAGGTAATTAGCTTATGAGGTCTTTCTGAATTTCAACTTTTCGAAAGGCATTAAGCATCTCTGCTTAATAAGTTTAATAATTTTAAATGCTTGCGCCGACTTGGTTGTCAGGAATTAGATTTATATCTCGGCTAGGAAATTGTGCTATGCTAAATAAGTCTGCAAATAGTTATCTTCTGTATTGGAGCACTTAAACCCGGTCCCTTTCCTTTAACAATTGAATGGCATCACTGTCAGTGGCCGCGGAGCCACCTCCTCCTTGGCCATTTCTGCAGTTTGTCTTCATTCATCTCGGCAGCATCGCCTGCAAGTCGTAAATTTTAAATGCTTTTGTAGGTCATTGCTGCCGAATGGCCAAGTCCGGGGAATGAGCATTCAAACGAGGCGAGGACGAAAGTTTCAGCTGAACATTGGCCAAGCGAGTCTTTTGAACTGCAGCCGCTCGGCTTTCCTCCAGCTCACTTTTCCTCTCAGTCGCAAGACGAAGGAAAATTTATGCGCCTCGCTGCGCCGGTCAGCGAAATGGCGCCAAGGTTCAAAGCTCCAAGCAAAGGTTGAGCAAAGGGGGCGGGGCCACTAAGTGGGCCACTCCACTGGCCACTGCCACTGGCCACATGATTGAGTTTTGGCCACCGTTGTTTCTTTTCGCCGCCCGCCTTTGTGGGTCTCTGCATTCAGTTTTATGGCAAATTGTTTGCAACACTGTTTGAACGTTTATTCCAAGCCCTGTGCTCTTGTTTTTCGGCCATGCAAAACATGTCGCAACAGCCGTGGAAAAACTGAACCTGCACTGCAGCCTACCGAAGGGATACGCGTACACGGAAATGGGAAGGGTCGGAAAAGTGCTTGCACATCACGTATACGTAATGTGTTACGTTCAAGTAACAACAACGAGGGTTGAGCGAGAAGTACGTTTAAGAGCATTGCACTTTAGCTATAATAGCTAGTTAACAATGAATGAGATTATTATCATTATCAAAAACGTTAATACATTTTAAAAGACTGTCATTGCTGCAGACAATCCAATTATGAGTATTAAAACATCTTTCGGCATTATTTCTTCACGAATACATCAGCGGAACTCGAATTACTTTATAGCCAACGGGGAGCGGGCTAACAAACACACAGGCACTTATTGCGATTTCAGCCACTCACATATTGTATGTATATGCACGGAGCCATGGCAAAACTCACAAATTTACAGACAACTCAGAAGCTCGGTGCTCCAAAGTGCAAAGCGGCGCAAATGTTCAGTTTGGATTTATTGTTATGCGATTCTCTCTAGTCTATATATATAAATACATGCTATATGTACGTACATCGCAGCCCCGAGTGAGCGATGTGTGTGTGTGTGTGTGTGTGTGTGCGGGCACGGCAATGCGGCGAAATGTATTACAATTAATTTGGCACACACGGCGTATGCTGAATATTATTTGGTCTCTGCAATCGAGCAAATCCGCGCCAATTGCCAATTATACAAATTCTCTTCGCAGACAATCGCAACTGCAAAATATCCACCCACGGCCATGCTGATTGATGATTCGACCTCCGGTGATGTGACAAAGTGGCAGTTCTGTGCACGGGTGGGTGGCCCACGATGCCCACGATGCCCGAGGTGATTCGAGGTCGGGTCAAAGGTCTGCTGCTGATTTGAACTTTAAATGCTGCAGCGACATTTGCATTTGGGCTTCGAAAATATCACGCTTGTGAAGGGCGGGCCCACGTGCATTACTGTCAGCTTATAGTTCACTGGGTGAGATATTTACCCACGCTCTTCATCTTTTCGTCAACATAGCACTCTGAACTCTTGCGAGATCCTTGCCTTTTGCATGTATTTGAATTTAATTTGTCTAATAGTTTCTGTTCAAGTGTCCTAATGACTTTTAATGACAGACGAACCGACAGCCGGGCGGACAGACAAACGGACGGACAGACGAACGGACAAACGGACGGACAGACGAACGGGCAGGCGAACGGACAGGCGAACGGACGGACAGAAGGACAAGACCAGATCGACTCTAATGTCCAGTCATCCTGATCAAATATACATGTGCTCTATAGGGCTATACACCCTTCCTTCCTCCTGTTTATACCTTTCAAGGAGTCTAGCATACCCTTGAGCTCCTCGAGCACCGCGTATAGCCGATCCCAACTGCAACTATTCGCCTGGGTGCACCTACCTGAGTGTCAGCAAAGAATGCATCTAGTGGTGGGGCAGCCAAGAGGACCACCGGGGCGCCGCCTCCAATGCCGCTGATGGAGCTAATGGCCGCCAAGTCATGGAGCGGGGATATGGGGCTCGGCTACCGAGGAGGATGGCCTGCAGGTGTCACAGCAACGGGCGCACACTCTTCATCTATCCGCTTGGGCCGCACATTCCACGCGGGAATCCGGGTCCCGGCCAGAACTTCAAACGCTCGCCGGGCACTTCGTTTATTTACACAAGAAACAAGTTTATGCGCGAGAAGAACCATTCGCAGGCACTTAGCGTTTAGCAGGCGCTCGCGTTTATTATCTTAATAATTTTCAGAGTTCAGGCGGCGCTCTTTGACGCACAATTCCTGTGCGGGGGGATTCCTGTGCGGATTGGATCGGTATCTCTGGGTCCGACCAACTGCACCCTGCGAACCGGAGGCGGCAACTAAGCGAATAGAGATTTCTGTGGGCACTCGCACTTCCCAGCGGCCAAGTGCACGCCGAGCGATTTGTTTATCCATCTGCTGCGTACGCGCGAGTTTGTTCGTTATTAATTGCAACAAATGGTGCCGGCGTGGGCGCTTTTTATTTTTTGATATGGTCGTTTTGGTATGAAACGTTCGTTTTTTTGCTAATTTCGACTGCGTAACCGACCTATTTGAACAATCCGGCGCCCTCTGGCGGCGGGTAGCGCGTGAGAACGATAGTTCCGGTTAGATATTTCACTGCTCTTCAGCACTGGTGGTTTAATTATCTATTCGAATATTCCCACAATTTGTTGGGCTCTAAAATTATTTCAACATTCTTACATTAAAAAAAATTTATTTATTTACAGATATTTTCATGCTTACAATAAATACCCTTATTTGTAATACTTGTGCTGCTAGCCTACGTTTACAACTATATTTACAACTCTCTAGATAGCTGCCCTGGACCTTGTTTCAGTTAATGACCTGACAAGGAGCCACATCCTCGATTTCCTCGCCATCCAAAGCCTTGATCTGGCACTGGCACAGGAACTGCACGATCTTCCGCTCGGCACTGGCCCGTTCCAACGGACTCAGGCCGTCCAGCAGCATCTGAGCCTTGGCAAGCAGGCTGTTGGCAGGCGGTGCACATCGCTGTTCTCGCTCCTGCTCCTGCTCGTGGTGAATCTGGGCCTGGAGCTCCCGGTATTGCTGGAGCACGGTCTCCATGTTGGCGATCACGGTGGTCAATAGTTTCTCGGAGGTTGCGGCAGGCGGTATAGAGTGCTCAGTTAAGGAGGACTGCTCCTCTACAACAGCATTCGCCCTGTCGATTGTGTGAATTATTTCCTCACTGGTGGCGGGCGTGGTCGTGGTAACCTGGAGCTGTTGTGGTGGCTCCAAAACCTGCGGTGGCGTTGCTTCGCTAAGGATAAAGTCGTAGGGCGTTGCCTGCTCCGCCTCCGATAGGATCTCAATCTCTTCGTCGTAGGCCAACTCAAGATCATCCTCCAGCTCGTCGTTGTCCGTACTGTAGGGGTAGTCTGCGCCCCAGATTTGCTCCCCACTGGAGATCACCATACCCTCCGGCTGCTTGCTGGTCTTTCCCAAAGGATTTCCTGCTTTGGGAGGTCTTCCACGACGCTTGATGTTCTCCAAAACTAGCGGCACTCCTTTGCGAAAGTGGCGGCCCAGAAAGAGAAGCTCGTTAAAGTACCTCCACGTGATGGGTGTGGACTGGTTGATCTGATGACTGCGGTATTCCCGGGCAAAACGATCGCGTAGCTTCTTCCAGCGGTTGTAGCAAAGTTCCTCTGTTAAAATTATTGTCATTAGGGTCTGAAGATCAAGAAGGGAACCCGGAGCTCACCCGACACATTTAAGTTTTCAGAGATCTCTCGCCAGGCCTCGTTTTTCGCTGCTAGGTTCTTTGAGACTCTAATCTTGTGGCGATCATACAACACGGGATGGGACTTGACCAGCTCAATGAGCTGCTCGTTCAGCATGTCATCCTGAGAGTCCTCCTCCTCCTCGTCCTTCCTCCTCTTCTCCTGCTCCATGTCCACTTTTGTGCGCTTTTTCCGCTCTCTTGGCTCAAAACGCATCCCGTCGAGACTCTCGTTCCTTGCCAGTCCCTGTTTGTAGTGGTCCTTGAGAAAGAGCAGTCGCGGAAACATGTCCCAGTAGGTGGGCTCATCCGGACGCTCCTGGAAACGGCGAAACTCCTTCCCAAAACGATCGCGAATACTCTTCCAGCGAGTAATGCACGCCCGTTCCGAGGCTCCTAACTTTTGGGAGATGGCCTTCCAGGCCGCATCCTTTTGCGTCGCATTCTTCACGCTCCTCGCGCAGTCCTTGTCGTAGAGGATCGGGTGGGTCTCTATTAATTTTATCAGCTCACCGTCGTCCATTGATTTTCGCTATTATTTGTTATTATTTATTCCAGACGATCCGGCAGCCTGGCGGGAAATATTGATAGTCGATAGGCGATGTTCCCTCGCATAAAAAGAGTTGCCAGGTTATTCTGTTTAAAATATGTCCTACCTTGTTTCATAGCACTGATATGATATTTATTTATGTTTGTCGTCGTGTATATACGGCAAAAAATATCTTAAATATCAAATATATTAAACACATTAATATATCTGCAACGATGGTACATCCTTCATCTAAAATATATTTTGAGCAAAATATGTATCATTGGTATACAATTTATAAGATAATTGTTGCTTTTTCGTATTTTCGAAGGCGAATTTTCGTTAGTCGAAGGCATATCATATGAATATCTGTGTGACCTGATAACATCAATAATCGATAGTCCCATACTTCAATAGTTTCATCGATGAGTTTGCCTCATCTCTATTGTGTGACCTGGCAACGCTGTGAGCAAAAAAAAAGTACGGCAGCGTGCTCCTCGATTTCCACCCACGTTTTGTTATAATTTAATAAGTATTACGGTCTGAGACCAAAATTCCACTGCATCGGCATCGCTGCAAGTACTGGGCGATTGAAAATTGGAGGTGCAAAAAGAGGATAAGACGGAATTTCTTGCAACTGAGCCTGCGGCTGTGTGTGTAAGCATTGGAATTCGCCCGTGTGTGTGGCGAGATTTCGTCTGTGTGTGTGTGTGTGACGGACCAAAAAAGCCGACATCAGCGCCCATTTTTTGTTGTTGATTCATTAATACGCCCGTCATGCACCAGTATTGGTGAGTCTTACTCGCACTCAGCGGAGGCAGCCAAAGAATCAGTTGGCGCAAAAAGAGCGCAGGGAGCGGCAGAAGAAGAAGAAGCAGCACCATTAGCGGCAGTCAACGTCATAAATTTGTCATCGCAGTTGCACACAAAAAATAACAGTAAACTCTAACCGCCATGATCCTGCTGGAAATCAATAATCGGATTATCGAGGAGACGCTGCTGGTCAAATACCGTAATGCCCTGGCTGGGTAAGTCATGGCCTTCCAGTCCCGTTTCCCCAATTTCCATTCCACCATTTTGATTTCTATGCTGCATTCCCCACCGTTCTGTTATCACCAGTCGGCTTTGTTATCAGCTTCGTCGCCCCTTTCGCTCTCTCTCCTCGGGAATACATATGGGTGTAGTTCCAGCCTTTTAACACTCATCGCTGCAGCTCTCTCCCTCTTACACACGTACCCAAGTACAGTGCAGCTCCCTTTCCGCAGACAGAGCAATTAATTACGGCTCGTTTTTCGCATCATTGGTGCTGAATGTCTGTAAAACTGACTCATCTAATGACTTGTGATCATACCAAATATGAGTATTTGTTTGTCGTAATCCAGAAAATCGAAAGTTTAACTACACTACTAACACTACATATTTTTCATTCATTTTCTTCATAAATCAAACTTCATATTACTCAGCTAGTGAAAGTGCGAAAAGAAACTTAAACATTTTCTGGAATATCGGTAAAAATTTAAAATAAAATTTAAACATTTTACGTAATGTGTGTGATAGGTAGGTGTGATAGTTTTGGGCGTTTGGTCTGCAGTCTCAACTTTCAAGCTTTTATTTTTCCTGAGATCGAGGCGGAAAATTTATACGGTATCGTCCTTATACCTGTTACTCGAGGAGTACCGCGTATATTAACTACTTATATTAACAACAGAATGTGAATAGTATTATATGCAGTTCAATGCATGTACCAACTAACGCAAGAAATTCTGAAATGAGGGCGTTAAAAGTTCTAACACGTGGAGCAAAAGTGGCATACTTGGAAAACATTTCTTTTGTGTCTCAAATGTTCCAAAATAAACCAAAAAGACGAACGGCATCCTGAATAATCTATTATATTATAGCAGATGACTTATGTTTGTGTACAATTGCCCTACAAATCTTGTACTTTTTTGTAATTCCGGAGTCAAAGTGGCATATCTTACGATCTTCCTGTAACTTGTGTCTCAAATGCTCCAATATCAAATGTTAAGACGAACGGCATCCTGAATAATCTATTATATTATAGCAGATGACTTGTGTTTGTGTACAATTGCCCTACAAATCTTGTACTTTTTTGTAATTCCGGAGTTAAAGTGGCACATCTTGCGATCTTCCTGTAACTTGTGTCTCAAATGCTCCAATATCAAATGTTAAGACGAACGGCATCCTGGATAATCTATTATATTATAGCAGATGACTTATGTTTGTGTACAATTGCCCTACAAACTTGTACTTTTTTGTAATTCCGGAGTCAAAGTGGCACATTTTGCGATCTTCCTGTAACTTGTGTCTCAAATGCTCCAATATCAAATGTTAAGACGAACGGCATCCTGGATAAACAATAATTTTACTCCAGATGACTTTTGTTCGTGCACATAAGAATAATAGTCTCATTATTTACCCCTTATATATGTATGTATTCTGGGGAGACAAAGTTTACATGCTAAAGATTCTTCCTTTCCCGTGTCTACAAAGCTCCGATATAAATTGTAACGTTTAAATCATTTTAGAGAATTCTTTTTGTCTCTTAAGATAAATACTTTCGTGTACATTATTGCATATATCGTCATTGGAGTCAAAGTGGCATTCTTCAAAAATAATATTTGATCTGTGTCTCAAATGCTCCAACATAAACTAGAAGGTCGAACGGCATCCTGTATAATCCTCATATTATAGCAGATGACTTAAGTTGGACTACAATAGTATTAAATGATTCAGGTCACTAATTCCCTGGGAGACAAAGTTTACATGTAAAAGATTATGTGGCTTCTTTTTCGTGTCTACAATGCTCCAAAATAAACTGTTCGTTTAAATCGTCTTTTTCGATTTGTTTTATTGTCAAAGATGGTTGTCTACTGCACAATAGCTAATCAAATACTTGGGTGGAGTTAAAGTGGCATATTTTAAAACACACCATTGATCTGTGTCTCTATCGCTCCTATATCAACTTAAAATCCGAACGGCATCCTGTTTAATTACTTATATTAAGACAGATGACTTTTGTTCGTGTACAACTTGAATGATTCAAGGGTTATCCGGAGAAAAAGTTTACATGCTAAAGTAGTTTTCTTTTCCGTGTCTACAATGCTCCAATATTAAATGAACGCCAAAATCATCTTGGATATAATTATATGTCCACTGATAAATACACTCGTTAACATTTTTCATATGTAATTGGATTGGAGTCAAAGTGGCACACTTAAGCACTTTTTATTTGTGTCTCAAATGCTCCCATATCAAATGCTAAGACGAAAGGCATCCTGAATAATTGCGCATATTATTACAGATGACTTGTGTTCGTGTACAATAGATCCTTCATAGAATTCCCGTCTCCGGAGACAAAGTTTACATGCTAAGGTCCACATCTTTTTCGTGTCTACAATGCTCCAAGAAAAATGTTTCGTTTAAATTATCCTTTGCATTCTACATTTTGGCTTTGGATGCATTTAATTCGTGCACATATTTATATATGCATATGTCAGTGGCATTGGCAGGTGGCATTCTTTGGATATTTCAATATTATGTCAGGTGACTTCAATTCTAATGCTCCAATACTAACTTTACCGAATAACGGCATCTTGTTCGATCCTTCATATCACAACAGATGACATGAGTTCGTTTACATTATTCCGAAATTATTGGTGCATATTTTACTCAAAAACCTTTTCTCCATTGTGTAAGAAGCAAACCCTAGTTCATGTAATTAAATTCAATTCAAATATCGAGGTTGTGACATTCGGAAACAAGAATTTTTATTAATTGTTGCTGGTTTCTAAGGTATGCTAAGATAATAAGGTATAAACGAGTTTTTGTGATAAGATACAGTGGGGAGTGAGAAGCATGACTAATAAAAAGCCGATCTCATTTATTTACTTCTGAATTCTCTTTCCAGACTGAAGCCGGAATCGATAGACATACGAATAGCAGACTTTGACGGCGTGCTTTATCACATTTCCAATGTGAATGGCGATAAAACAAAAGTTCGGGTGAGTGTTCCTAATACAATTCGTTCAGAATAAAACCCACATTAACGATTTAAAACTTTTATTGTGCTGCGAAACAGATCAGTATATCGCTGAAGTTCTACAAACAGCTGCAAGAACATGGAGCTGACGAGTTGCTGAAGCGTGAATATGGCAGTCTGCTTACAGACACAGAAGAAGGTGTGTTCGTGCTGAGTTCGGCATTTAAAGAAGTTAATTACTCTTGTCTAACTGCAGGCTACAATGTTTCCGTACTTATCAACCTGGAGGAGATTCCCGAGGACTGCGAGCAAATCGCAAAGAGAATCGGTTTACTGAAGCGCAACTGTTTCGCCTCCGTTTTTGAAAAGTATTTCGACTATCAGGAGCAGGGCGAAGAGGGTCAAAAGCGTGCCGTTATTAACTACCGCAACGATGAGACTTTGTAAGTCTTTGTTAAGACTTTGATAGGGCTCGCACAAGTGCTGACATCTATATCCGATTCGCAGATATGTGGAAGCCAAGCCTGATCGTGTCACCGTCGTCTTTAGTACCATATTCCGGGACGAAGACGATGTCATTATCGGCAAAGTATTTATGCAGGAATTGAGGGAAGGTAGGCGTGCCTCGCACACTGCGCCGCAAGTGCTCTTTTCGCACAGAGAGCCGCCACTGGAATTGGCCAACACGGACGCCAGGGTGGGCGACAATATCGGCTATGTCACATTCGGTAGGTTGCGGCTCGAATAGTAAACCATGTGGTTTGGAGCCAAAGTTTACATGTTGAAGTGCCTTCATCGTTTTCGTGTCTACAATGCTCCTATATAAATAGTATCGTTAAATTCATCTTGGACATTCTTTATATATCTAATGATAAATACTTTCGGGCACATTATACATTTATGTCTTCTGTGGAGTCAAAGTGGCATGTTTCAAATTATTTGATTTGTGTCTCAAAAGCTCCAAAATCAACCAGATATGCGAACGGCATCCTGCATATCCATTATGTTATAGCAGATGACTTTTGTTTGTGTACAGTAAAACAATAACCAGACTGGCTTTTTAAATGGAGACAAAGTTTACATGTTAGCAGTATTTTCGTTTTCGTGTCTACAATGCTCCAAAATCAATGTATCCGATCCAATCATCCGAAGCAGTCTTATATTACCTTGGATGATTTCTTTGGTGCACAGCAAGGCATAAATTTTTCTTATGGAGTTAAAGTGGCATGTATTAGTACTTACCTTTAATCTGTGTCTCTAATGCTCCAATATTAAATAAGTAGGCAAACGGCATCCTGAGTAATCAATCATATTATAGCAGATGACTTTTGTTTGTGTACAATACTTCTTAAAGTTGAGCCGATGCTAAACCTAAAAATATCTAATAGAAACCCTGAATAGTAACGAGTAACAACTTATTTTTTGCAGTACTCTTCCCTCGACATACCAACAAAGAAACAAGGGATAATACCATTAACTTAATTCACATGTTCCGAGATTACTTGCACTACCACATTAAGGTAAGCTTTGTATGCAACCTCTGAAATATATTTTAAATACCCATTTTTGAGCAGTGTTCAAAGGCTTACATTCATTCGCGCATGCGGGCAAAAACCTCGGATTTCCTCAAGGTGCTAAATCGTGCAAGGCCGGAGCCGAAAAACACGGAGAAGAAAACTATAACGTGAGCATTGGACTTTGCCTAATGATTTCTGTTTACTAAGTCATACTCTTTTGCAGGGGGAGAACTTTCAAGCGCATCGAATGATGTGTGCAGTATATTTAGTTGTTTTTATATAAATACAAAAAATAAATTGTGTATTAAATGCGATATCCGAACAGAACTTTGTCCAAGCAATGGAAAATCCAACATAAACTAAACCAGATTACAAAACAAAGCCAAGTATTCCAAACAGAACTGTAAGGCTAACTGTAAGCTCAGCAAAATAATGAACAAAGAATTAATAATTACGCGTTAGTAAATGAATTGTGTGTTTTGTGTCGAGTCATCGTCAAATCCGTGTCTCCGCCAATTTGTTACAGTCAGGCCGAGTCAGCGCCGCAGCTGATCCGCATTTTAAAGAAATAAACGTATACTTAAGTGCAACATGAGAACTAAAACTACCATGTCAACGCGAGCCACACGACTAAGGGATGCCACCAACTTGTTATATAGTCGCAATGGAGGATTCATCCCTGCAATTAGCCTATATGTGTAGAGAACGCATTTAAAAACGTACTGCAAATATTAACAAACCTTTGATACAGCAATCGGAATTAATAAAATCGAGAAAATCAAACTGCAATGTAAAATATAAAGGCCACTCTTGTAATCTCTGGCTGGAGGCGCACGAAAACACTTTATTTTCTAGCTTATTAGTTTTTAATTGCATTAGTTAAGACATTATGTGACCAATATTTCGCTTAAGTATACCATCTCCGCTGCACACGAACTGTACACGAACTTAGATCTTAAACTTAACGTTCTGCTTCGCGTTCATGCTCTCCATGCTGGCCTGGAAACTCAGATAGTCGCTCTGGATGCGGGCACAAACTGAAAGCAATGGTTGGGTGAGCTGAGTTGGGGCCAAGGAGCGCTTCGACTGGTACTTTTGAGATGTGCTACTTACAGTGGCAGTGTTCTTTGCGATAGAGAGTTTTCTGCTTAAGTACTTCCGATAGTTTGTACAGGGTGCGGGTGAATTTACAGAGCCCCTAGGGATCATCGTACTGTTCCAATTTGATATAAGCAAGTGCTGTGATAGAGGCGAGATGGATAGAATAAGTGAGTAGCACGCTTAACACTGGGAAAAATCTTTCCAGAGCTAAGAACAGTTTTCGTCTGCAACAAGTCCCGAACTTCAGAAGAGAGTGACTTAAAAAACAATTGCTATACCAGTACTTTTTTAACTGAGAATTCGTTTGAACTGTTATTGCTATTTTGAAGAACTCTTATAATTTTGAAATTAATATCTGCCGTTTTGATTCCCCAACTTCTTATTCTGGGATTCGTATAAAGTATGTTTCTAATAATATTTCAAGTTTAAACCGTACCATTCGTAATTGGGATTATTTGTGCTCGGGTTTATCTTCTCATCGGATCTTTTATGAAATAGTTGTACTTCCGAAATATTGTTATTATTTTAAAAGGAAATTCCATTTTTACCACACAAATTGGTTTCCTCCCTTAGGTGCTACAATTTTAAAACTTCGTACACTTTTAAATATTCTGCTGAGTAGCACCCTCTATAAGAAATCCCCATACAGTCAAGATCTTTATTCCAGGCTTCAGAAAGGACTTTTCCTCAGTGTGCAGTAACTAGCGTGCGACAAGAGGAGTCAGCTGGAGGAGTCGTTTATCATTTTGTATATATACAAATGCGTGAGCTCGTGTGGAGGGAGGTGGGTGGTCGGGATGGGAGGAGGAGGAGGAGCTCCAGACAGGAAAAGGGCTTGGCTCGCATTAGGGTGACAGCGAAAGTGGGGCAGTGGGTACACGGGTCTTCTGCGCGGTGTGTATGTGTATGAACGGTGGTAATGAGATGGCGGAGTCACTTTCTCACCCTTCTGCAGGTCCATGTCGTCCATTTCGGAGTTCTTGATCTGCTGCAGCTTCTCGCGGAACTTCTTTGTGATCTGCTTGCGCTGGTAGTCGGCCTCGATTTCCTGCTTGGTGCGCGGAATCCGGAAGCGAATGCAGCAGCATACCATAATCACTGCGGCATGGGTTCGATTACATTGGGTCCAGACTGGGCTTCCAGAAGGAATCACTTGTGATGTACTCACTTATTAAGAGGAGGACGCCGAGCACAGCGGCGATAATGTGCCACACTCGGAAGCCCGCAATGACCACACTTTCCAGCCACATTTCATCGAAGATATCCGAATCGTCATCCATTTTCCGCTTGACTTGTGGGCTCTGCCAGGTGCTGGAACCGCTGGAACCGAGTTGCTCCCGAAATACGTCCGGCTGCCTAGCCAATCCAGCTCCGACTGCTGGCCCAGGAACTGGTCCGAACTGGCCTGGCCCACCAAGTAAGTTGGTAAGGGAGGCGCGGCCCCACACACTCCCTCTGAAAAAATAATTCGCGGGGTGTAGCCATGTGGCGGCAAAATGGCTAACTTGTAAAATAACAAACAAAGGAGCCGTCCCCTCCCGTGGACAAATGAAGCCTGAAACTAGAAAAGGCAATGATAGATATTTAGTAGACACAGGGAAGGATTGCTTCCGATGGAGGAGTCTGGAAAAGCTGTGTGTGCTCGTACATTAAATTCGAATCATTGGTTGATCCTGAATAACTTAAAATATCATGTTTTAAAGTAAATATATTTATGAAAACATTTCCCAATTTCCAAAGTAAATTTCATTTTAAAGTGGCAATATATTATAGTTTCTTCACATCTGTACAAAAGACTGTGAGAAGACTCAACCTCCTTTGAACAAATCCGTCCCTGATTCATTGTGGATATGAATGCGAAAATGACAACAAACTCGACTCGAGTCCAAGAAACTGGGTGCGGTGCCGCATGCCCCAGGATAAAGACCCACTCACTTTACATACCGAAAGGATCGGGGCGCCAACTGCGGGGAATCGGGGCCAGGACAGTCCTCCCCCAACAAAGGACAACATGCAAGTGGTTAGTTGGACGGGCATGGACACCTGCTGGTCACACCCAATTGGTTTGGTTACTTCCCCGCTCACTGAGATGGTAACTGCTAAAGTCTGGGCGGGATTATGGCCTAATGACTGTGAAAAGAGGGAATTGGCGTCCGGAGTTATGTGTGACTGCAATTACTCAATTAGACTGAGGTCCTTTTGGTCCTTTTATCTATTACTATACACTTCCAGATCGCCTTTGTTATGAAGCCACTGAGGAAAGTCTGCTAGCTTATCTGTAGTCAAATGATGTTTGGGAGCCCTAATAATATTATTTAATCCTACATTACTCATTTCCCATCAATTAAATAACAGTAACCCACAATTAACCGGCAAAAATGTTCAATTCTGATCGGATGGATGGATGGTGCCCCAGGACTTACTAGCAAAGTAGCCACCACCTATTCCTTTTCCTTACTAAATGAAGGTAGATATTTCAAAACATTTACTAAGAGCATAGGTGGCGTCAACTGAACCTAATAGATACGCTTGTAAACTATAAACACACTTTTGAAGAACCGCGTCGTGCCTATCGAACGGTGGCGCCACCTGGAAGGACGAATGGTGGCAGTGTCCAATCCGTTCACAATGGACCCAAAAGCGGCACTCGCCGCGAATGAGGCGCATGCGCAGGGGCACTCAGAGTCGCCCCAGCGAGTTGGGGCAGCACTCATTCACCTACTCATTCAACAAAATATGTGCTATGTGCTAGCCCGAATCAGTTTCAGTTCAGGCTCTCGTTCGGTGGCACATCGGTGGCGCTCGTCGCAGAAAAGGCATGCAGAGAAAATCTAGAAAGTAGTTGCTGAAAAAAGCAGAGCGCAGCCAACCCAAGCAGAGGAGCACTGGGGAAAATCGAAGCCGTGGGGCGATTATATTGCGAATCGGATGGAGCATATATCCCCGCTGTGGCATTATCCTTCGGATCGAATCGAGGCGAAATCGCATTGAATCGGGCTCGGGCCAGTGTGTGTGTGCTAGTGAGTGCCAGTTCCGAGTGTGTGTGAGTGTGAGTGTGCGGAGTACATATGTAATAGGGCCATGAAGTTTTATTGAAAAACGAGGCAGAGACAAGGCGAAAGGCCATAAGAATTGGGCCCGCAGCCCCCCGCAGCCCCGGAAAACCCCGACACGCCCCTTCGCAGGAGTCACCGTGTAGTCGCTGTGAAAAAAGCATGCCCCATGCAGCAAAACTGTGCCCATGTGGCTCCGAATGGGAGGAGTCGCCCATTTGGTAACGTCGTGCAGCTGAAAAATTCGGATTCCCAATCAGAAATCTGTTGAGCGAAAATCGAAGAGGGTCGAGTAAAAACCTACATCTGCATACATGTACATGCACCTCCGATAGTCGGGAATCAAGCAGAATCAAGCAAAGTAAAACAAATTGCTCAACTTGCTGTGTGCGAAAAATCGGGCCAAAATGTGCGAGCGTGAGCGTAAAGTGCGTGGGTGTGTGTGAAAGGTGTAAAAAATGTACATTCTGTGAATTGGCCACATAAAAAGAGAAAAGAAAAGGAAATCGGGAAAACGGGAAAACGGAAAGAGGAAAACGAGTAACGAGTGTAACGACAGACGTTATATTCAGAGCCGATTCGTAGTTCTTGTTTTTGTTGCCACTTCGTTGTTTGCCCGCAAGAGTAAGGCAAACGCTTAGGCCCCAAAATGCCCAGAGATCTCGACTCCGGCTCCAGTTCCAAGACCGATTCCATAACCGCTTCCGGCTCCAACTCCGGCGAATCCGGGGTTGGCCATAGCTATATTCCCGGGCAGCAGCAGCAGCATCAGCACCTCTACCAGCATACTCCGCGCCCACCCACGCTGTGAATCCCCCACATACTCGTATCTGACTCATTCAGATTCAGATTCAGATTCAGATACAGATTCTGATACAGATACAGATTCAGACAAGATCAAAGATCAAAGATCTCCAGCACCTGCAAGCGCCACTGCAATTAGACGCATATTATCCACAAATCAATACTAATCACCAAATCAGCAAAGTAAGCACCGCTTTTCGTTTGTTCGAGCTACACACGCCACACACGCCAAACATAAGCCAATCGAAATCCATAGAACGCACAGCCGAGCGCTTTTGTTTTGACCGCCAAACGCTGCACGCCTATCGCCGCCAAATTATCGATTTTCGATTGGCAGCGCTTGAACGGGGTGTAGCTAGCCATGCAATTGGACTTCCTCCTAGGGGGCTTGGATATAGAGTAATTACGTATATATCAGTTTTTGTGTTACCGCTTTTCTTGGATTCAGTGGGCAATTTAAAATTATCGCAAAGTCAGCGATAGTTTCGATAGGTTTCATTTCATCAGACTTTGGTTTTGCATCAGAACTCTCTTTTCGTTCGTGAATTTTATATTTGGGTTTATTTCTTTAGTAAATACTGTCCTTTAGAAGTAAATTATAGAGCAATTCATAATGATACCATTTGAGTCTTTGAATAAAGTAATAGCAGAATGTAGGCGTATGATAAAAACTTGAACTTTTTTCTGAGCATAGAAACCTAAGCTTCCCTAACATTACATTTTAAATTGTAATTTTTATTTCTTATAATTAAGATAACTAACCAAAGAAAAAAACTTTCATATTAAAGTCATATTCCATTCTGAAGTCGGTATTTCAATAATTCCACCTTTAATATAAGCGCCTTTCAACTATGGATTACTTAAAAATATGAAAGTATTTGGTCTCAACTCTTTTTATTTAAAGTATTTAGGGTTGTCACTTTTGATTTCTTATACAAGTTTGGTGACTTGTTGAGCCAAGTGGCCAAGTGAACTCTGGTGTGTATGATGTGTTTTTTAGGTGTTCATTTTGATTTCATCGTTTAATTCTGTTAAACAGTTGGAATACTATTGCAACTAAACCTTAAAATTAAAAATCAATCTTTAATTCCGCTGGTCAAACACTAGGTTTTTGCTTGAGCTTATACCTTAACTTAATAGCACGTAAGTTCACGACTAGTTTTGGATAGTATCCACTTTAATTTGGAATACATTTCTGTGGCAGTAACAAGTTTAAATAGGCGGCCGACTAGGGCAATTTTCTCGCTAGTTTCGACTTTTTGCAGACTGGCGTCGAACCCAAAGAGGGTGTTCGAATAAAGTTTGAATGAAAAACGTGAATGTACTTTTCGCTTGTGTTGGTGCCTACGGATTGGGAACGTGTATGTATGGGTTGACGTCGAACTACGAGGCGCGAGGTGACGTGACGTCACATCTTCCACGAGAGAAGTACTGCGAAAATAGTGTGAAGGCATAAAAACGAAATAAAACTAACAATACATGATCTTCATTTCTAATTACTATAATAAAAATGTCCATTGAGCTTTGAGCAATTTGTGGAAAAGAAATCATTTTCAAAAGCTACAGCACAAAAATTCCTTGTTGAAGCTAGATTGTGGTTTAGTTTAGTAACTAAACTTAAGTTAATTAAAAATACCGCCCGTCTTACGATGTTTAAATTAAATACCGAAAAGATTGTAAAAGCGCGCGAAGGTGAATTTCGTGCTTAGGGCCCTATATCTGCGCTCCTCTGCCGCAAGCGGCGCTTACGGGCGACCCAGCGGAGCAGCATAGTGCCGTTGCCTCGCACACCTCACCTCGGGATCCAATCAGATGTTCAGTGCCAACTCGAACGAACACGTCGAACCAAAGTGACAGCGCAGTGTGTTCGACGTCGAGAGTCGGGAGCTCCATAAAGTTTACTCTCTCCACAGTCAGTGGCTGCGGTTGAAATCAGTCGTAAAATAAAACACAGGCAGCGCAGCAGGCTCGGCAAATTAAATGTAATTAAGTGCATTTAAGTTTTAGCTTACGTGCTTCGATTTCCAATTTTCCGGGCAGCAGGGCGGCGAAAAGGCCGAGCTCCCCCAAATTCGCGGCGGTTTCCTTTGTTTTAGGGAATTTCGCGTGTGCTGTCATCGGAATATTCATTGTGCTTGCGCGTGTGTTTGTGAGGAGAGCGTGGTAGAAGCTCCACCACATTTGTTATGTCAATAATTAGCGGCGCAAAAAACGAAGCCAGAAATGCGTGGAGGTGTTGATCAAATGGGAAACCGCTCCAGCTTGCCCGCTCTTCCCGCTGTGTAAATCCCCAAAAGAACTGCACTTGGCCGTCACGTGGAGAATTGATTTTTTGCCAAAAACGCGAGCACTTCGTGTGCTCTTTCCTTTTGCTGCCAGTCCAATTGGATTATGCCCGGCCGGGCTTTGTCCAATTGCCAGATTCTTGTTGGCGCTGCTGTCTCCTCTTTTTGAATTACATTAAATATTTAAAGCATATGCAAATTTGAACAGTGGCCCCGTAAAAGGAATAAAGGACCTTTACCTGGCCGCGTCCTCCTCGCGCCTCCCCCTGTAGTTGTTGTTCTTCCTGGGCTCCTTCTGCAGTTGTTGTAGTTGCTGCTGTGAACCAGATGACACGCCTTCCGTCTCCCGGTTCTGTTGGGTCTGCCAGAGATGAGCACGAACTAATCGTTTTCAAAGTGCATGTGTATACTCCGGGAATACCTAAGACAGTTATCACTTGCTCGGTTCAGGTCCACTAAAACCCTTTTTATTTTAGATAGTAATAGTAGTTTCCACCATTCATTCGACTAATGTCTAGATGGCTGAAAATATCAAACACAGCTATTATAGTACCAAAAACCAGCTCTTTTAATAGAGAGAACTTGGAGATTGGATGGACTGATTTGCCCGAGGCTCATCTCTATTTGGCGGCTTTTCTTCGGGCTTCCAGCGCCTTTAGTGTCGTGCAATCGTTTTTTGTGGTGGGGTTACTCCTTCTTTTTCGGGGGTTTGGGGCATGTGGGTCTGTGGGCCTGAGCCGTTTCTTTTTGCATTTGCTCGTTTTTAGTGTTTTACTGCTTACCCAAATGCCGACACCCGAAATCACTCACACTCGTCGTGGTTTTCCTTTGCAGCAGCTGTGGCTTCCATCTCCGAGCTCCCGTTTTCCACGCCTTCCCCGTTTTCCCCGATCCAAATGCATTTCGATTGCTTCGTTATGTGAGTGCACTCAACTTGGGAGCTGCGTGTATATACATACATATACATATGTGTGTGTGTGTGTGGAGGAAGAGGGATCTTAAACAGCGTTTTCCTTGACGCCATGTGTCTGTAAGGCAACGGTTGTCTATCCTGCGCCGTCTCGTGTCTTTTCCTAGCTGCTGTTTCCATTTCGCACGAACGCTTTCCCGGCGAAACAGTCCCATGTCCTTGTCACCCCACAACAGCCGCCCAACCACCCAGCCCCTTGCTCCGCCCCCTTTTGGCCCACTTGGACGACACGTGCTCATTATGCCGCTTCAAATTTTACTCCACTTTTCGACTGCCGCTGCCGTGCTCCTCCGGCTCCTCCGACTCCTCCGACTCGTCCTGCGCAGGTTCCTTGAAACAACAGTTTGCTTAAACTACACGCTCCAAATCCAAATGGAGGAATTTAAAAGCAGGCAGTGCCTTCACTTTGTGTATTAATCCCGATGCTCTCCACAGTCGATTTGACCATGTCCATCTAGTGTCTCGCTTCTACATCAATCATCCCTAAAGTTTTCCGGATCGAACCACTATATCATTGGAAAAAGTCATAGGAAAAAGGAAAGGTGGATATTATGTGAAAATATTAGGAAACAAATCATTAGCTGATTATAAATGCTCGCTATTCTTGCACATTCCTCGCCAGAATATTTTGCGCTTAAATTCCGAGTGCTAACTCAAACTAGCACACATCTTAAGTTGTCAAGTAGAAATGTATACTAATCACTCACTAGTGATATTATAAAGTAACTCACATAAATTCAATCAAACCACTCCAGCAGATGTTTAAGGTCACCTCTACTACCTCTGCCACATTGATAACCATAACAATCTTGCTTGCTGTTTGCGCTTGCCAATTCAAAACTTGTTGATTGTGGGCGCTCCAGTACTCCCAGTGCCCCCGGTACCCCGGTGCCCCAGTGGCAAGTACATACTAGCTGGGATGATTCCACACAAGCAAACTGCAGCAGCCGCCCAAACACTAATATTTGATTTATGCGAGCTGGTCAGGGTCTGTGGAACCATAAAAGGTTGTTTAGGGAAAGATCGCACTTGGGGCTGACTGGTCGGTGGAGACCACTTCCATTTGGCTGCTCATTAACGCTTTCTGATTGGATGCTGGCTACTTATGATTACTAGAGCTTACCAAGATAATACATGTCCATGAAAGACTTCACCATTTATTACTCATCCTAAAACCACTTCATCACCTAGATAGTATATATTTTTGTGGACTGATGTGTGCCTTAGTATGCGTATTATCTGACACCTACAATAACTAACCGAAAGTTTTCCATATCTCTCTTGTTTTGCAGTTGCTGATAACGTGTACAAGTGGCAATAACAGAATAAATAAGCCGGAAAAAAGGTCGAAAGGCCAAAAGTGAAATCCAATCCGGAGTGCAAAAGTGCAATCCAGTGCAAAAGTCAACAACTTGTGGGAGTCGAGCGTTCGTCCTCGAGTCCTTGAATCCTGCCAGTGAGCTCAGTGCTTTAGGTGTGCCCAGTGTGCGTCTGTGACTGCGTCCGGGTAGCGGAGAAGCCACAACGTCGTCCACAAAACCATCGACGTCCACAGCCGCCGCCGCCGCCGCTGCTGCTGCCGCTGCAGGATCGGGATCGGGATCGGGACAAGGATCAGGAGCGGGTGCGGGTGCGGTACCAGGAACTGGTCCAGGCCACCAGAGGAGCGGCGGACGAAGCGGCCAGCGACGTCGCAGTAGCAGCAGTAATCCACACGCCGGCACAACGAAAGCGACCAGTGGCAGCGGTGGAGCTGGCAGCGCCGGCGGAGGAGGAGGCGGCGGCGGCGGCAGCGGTGGAGGCGGGGTCAAGCAGAGCGTCAGCCGCAACAGCAACATCCGGAGCAGCAGCTCCAACAGCACCATGGCCTCTGCCAACCATCGCGGCGGCGGCGGACGAGGTGGAGGTGGCGCTGTCGCCGGCGCCGGAGCGGATGGAAATGCGATCGTGGGGCTTCAGATCGGCTCCGCCTGGTTTCAGCGTAAGATCAACCTGAGGCCGCAGCACCGTGGCGTCCACCTGGTCACCGAGGAGATACTCCGACAGATGCCGGAGCTGGCGCACTTCTCAGTGGGATTGTGCCACATGCAAAGTGAGTCTCAATTACTTCACTTCTATACTCTTTTAAATCGAAATGTGGGGTACATTTCAAACAACCTGATAATCAAAATTTCAACACGTTCGAGCCAATCATATTGGGGCACTGCCCCGAAATTTCCTGCCAAAATCGTATCGGTTACCATTTGGCCATTTAGAACATCTTCGGCACCTTCCTGGCGGCCCTCCTAAGTGATTATCCGAAATCCAAGGCTCAAATGTCAGTTAATCGTGGGGCAGCTGGAAAATCGCTCCCCAATTTTTTCAGCCACCCCGTCATTTCCATCGCATCCATCTTATTCCGTTCCCTGTCGATTCATACACTTCGAAAAGCGATTCCCAACTAGGAAGCAGAGTTGGAGGGCTACATATTCGAGTATAGTACTTTAATCTCCCAGAAAAGCCACCCATTCAGGTCAGGTTTTCAGACTCTGGCACTGGAAAAGTTTCCTCACATTACATTTTCTTTGTGCGGATTGTACGAGTATTTCTCCGGGGGAATCTGGCTTTGGCCAAGGCGTTTGCATTTGGCTGAAAGTTCAGCTTGACAAACAGCGAAATGTAGAACTTGCATACCAAATCAGCACAAATTGTCGTTGAATTCAGCAGAGGAGCTGCCGAAACTTGCAGGATGGCAGCATTTGAATGGGCGGCTGCTCCTGCTAATTTGTACTAGTCAGTAACTGGGTTAAACTACCCAGATCAACTGACTGACTTGGCCCGGTCACTTTGTGTCTCTCGCTGCAGCCCGAAAATTGCGATTGACATTCGAAAATAGTCCGACTTTTGGGTGACCAGAACGTGTGGCTGTGGCGATGACCCCGTGCAGAAGGACTTGCCAAATTAATGTGCTTGGATCAATTTTAATTCTGCGGACGGGGATGTTTAGCACATCGAGAATATATACATGTAGAACAAATGAGTTATGAATGAATCACTTGAGACCGCTTACGGCAAGCGATGGTTAAGAGTGCGATTGCAATGTCCGTAAATCAACTGCATTCCTAAGCCTCGGACCTTAAGTGCAATGTGTCGCTCGCCAGGATGTCATCACACATCAGACGCCAAGCGATTTGAGTCCCTGCCCTGTTCGAGTTTTATATTCCACTCCTCGGAATGCACTCGCAATAATCTCCGGATTGCAGTTCTGCAAAGTATTGCTTTTCCTGCGCTGCCGTGGCTGCTCCTCGCACACTAATTCTCGCATGGAATCCCCGCCTTCGTCCTCTGCGGACAGCGGGTACACTGGCAAAAATTGTTTCGGCTTTGCGAAATGCTTGCTAGTGGAGTAGAGGGGTATCTCAGATTTGCTGAAATGGATGTAAAGCTGGAAGAAAACGTTTCCGACCCTATTAGATACACATATTATATTCGAATCAGTATTTGTATGCCAAAATCTCTTGGCCACGCCCATAATTGGGTCAGCCTATGATCCTCATCAAGCATTTCGCTTTCTTTTACCTGTTACCTATTTTGGCATTACAAGTATCGGGTTAGTTATGAGAAATTATGGTAACCGAAAGGTGTGCCGTCGCGCTCCCTTTAATTGAGTAGCGGGTATCTGGTAGTCGAGGCACTCGACAATACCGTTCTCCCCAGTTCTCATTTGAAGTAGAAATATCTTGTAATATACGAAATATCGTCCGCGTTTTGACCACATTGTCAATAACCTTTTAACTTTTTGGTCAATTTCAATGCACTTCACTAGTTCTTCGCTCAGTGTACGGCAGCATAGCACTAAGACGATGAGCAGGCAGTGCAAACAGAGAAACAACCTCCGTAGTTGGCTGCCTTGGAGGCAGCTTCTTGTTGACAGTTCGCATTACAATGCCAGGACGCGCTCCGTTCCTCCATCCTGTGGCTTTCTGTCTCCCCCTCCCTCTCCCTCCAGCCGTCTTGTTTCGGCCTGGGCAAATAAATAAAATCGTATCATAAAGGGGGTGGGTGAGGTTTTAGCCGGGAGTTGGCCTGACTAAAGTGAAAAGCAATCGTCGTCTTAGTCGCAGTCGTCGCTCATGTCTGCATGTCATGGTCTGTGGCTATGGCGTGTGAGTGCTCGAGGCGAACTTTTTTAGCCCCTCCTCTTAACGATTTTCTACCTCCATGTCAGCCTCCAGTTCCATGCCTGTGCACGGGAAAAAATCAAGATATGATTCCCTACAATATTTTGTTTAAAATGCTGTGCTAAATGCGCGTGGAGTACTACGATAAATGCAGTTCTTGATCAGGATCTGTCCGTTTGTCTGTCCGTAAAAACGCTGTGAGCGCCACCTATAGGCGGTTATGTGGTCCAAAGTTGTTAATCTGTTAATAGTCCGATTCGAAACTCTTTTAGCAATAGCAAAACCAAATCCCAATACTCTTTTTCTCATTGTTGTGCACACGTACTTTTAAGGATGTATTCTTAATTTGTACTTTATAATTTATTTAGTTAATTTATTAAAGCCACAAGTCATGTACTCAGCCCAAAAGTTTCTTTGTTCGAATTTAGTTATGAAACAAACAGTTGATAGTGCAATATAGTTGTGCTTATTATAAAAAAGTTGATTGAGATGATGATTGTCTATATATTTTAGCTGCCACATTTTTATTCTGTGTGGCTCGCACAAATCGTCTTAGCCAGCACATTGCAGGCAGGTTATTATTACGAACATTCGCTCTCGCTCGCTCGTGCTCTCTCCTTTTTTATTTCTTTTGCCAAATCAGAAGCACGTGTGTCCCTGCCCCTTGCCACTTGCCCCTTGCCCCAGCCAACCGGCTGTGTGCGTGTTTGTTGTCTGGGGTGCTCACTGTACGTGTATTGTTTTGTGAACTGTAAGCGGAATCTAATTGAGGTCAAGACATGTTTATTGATTTTCTTAAAAGGACTTCCTAATTAGACACACTTTACTGGGGAAAGCCTGAGAACCCCTCCCCCTCTGCGCCCCGATTTAATGCAAAAAGTGGGTAAATGCAGGCAAATGGGAGGCAGCTCCCCTTCTCTTCGGCAGCAAAAAAGTTAATTTCGAAGAAAAATGGAAAAGGAAAAATAATTTCAAAGCAACCTTGCCATATGTTGTTGTCTTTTACTATTGACCTCAATAGCCCCCATTTCCCGCCGCCCCACCCACTTTTGTTTCTATGGGGAAAAGCACAAACAGCAGACAAGATGACACACAAATCACAAATACACAAAAGTGTAAGCCAAATGTAAAGGTAACTTGTTAAACACAACAAAGAGTAATGGAATGCAGGGAAACGCTAAAAATGATATATCCACCCGGGCTCCGACTTTCCCACCTGAGCCAGGCAAATATTTCCCCTCTATAACTCGGTTCCTTTTCCCATTACCCATTTTATTAATATTCATATGTGCGGCAGGAAGGTCGTCCGCCCATAGAACCGACCCCTACTGACCGCAGAGTGCCCCAATGGGGCTTCCGTAACCCCAATGTAGAGGAGACCTCGGAGTCACCACGGCGGTATGTGTATTTATACTTCTGGCCTGAACAAAGCTAATTGCCTGGGGGCAGCTGATGATTTTTGGCGTTTCGCCTAGCCCACTGTTAGGAGCTGGATTCGCAGGAAGTCAAGTCGATTCAATACAATGAGGTACGCGGTTCAGTCTCTTCATTGCTTTAAAGAAATCGTATTCGTTATAACAAGTTAAAGCGTAAAGTCAAAGATCTCTACGCTGATTCCATGGGCGACTTGGTGGAGCCGCAGGACTGGTCGCTTTCGGCGGGGGAGAAGGACACTCTATAGCAATTTGCTGCATAATCGCAGGATCATATAAATGGCTCAACTTCAATTTATAACCCGAGCATATTTTTCAGCCAACCGAAAGAGCTGCAGGAACGCGACACAAGGGAAAGGACTCCGCCAGAGTGTCCTTTTGCGAGGGAGCAACACCAAATAAATCAACAGCCAGCGAAAGCGAAACCATGTGGGGTAGGGGGCTTTAGGGGGCTTCCCTTGGAGTTGGAGACGGGAGTTTTTGGTTTTGGAGCCTTCAGCACTGGGGATATGTTTTTGTGTGGGCGTGCTCGGTCATTTCTCTTTTCGCTTTCGTGACGACAGGGAAACTGCGAACGAGGGAAAACAGAACGTGGAAAACGGCGAAAATAGGAAAAGTGGAAAAGTGGAAGAGGACAACAAATCGTGCCATGTGTGTGTCATACTTTGGGCTTCCGCTTATTCTTTATTCTTTATTCTTACTCCTTTATTCTGCCATTTCGGCTCCTTTGGCATTAAAATGCCCGCTTATGAACCGCAAAATGCTGCGCTACCCAATAAATCAATATTATTTATGCAAAACGAGCACGCCAAAGGTTTTTCTTGCCGGTCCTGTGGCCCGCTTTTCCCATTTCCCATTTCCCAATCGAATCGCTATGTGCTTGAACTAGTTTCACTCGGTTTCTTTCCGGTTCTCCAGCACCTGGCATTGAAAGCAGCTCTGTACAGCGAACCAAGCCCCGATTTCTCTCTGTGATCGTTGATTTTTGGCCTGGAGTCCTGGCGATAAGCACAAAACTCAACGGCTACGTAAAAAGAAGGCTGATGAATTCAGGCATTTCCTTCAGCATTTCATTATGTAATACTATCACACACATTCACATTCCAAACGCTCACGTGACATTCGAAGGCCTACTGTGCACTATGGGACCAACGACCACTTTTGTGGGCAGATTGTCAACCAGCTCAGCTTGAAAGGCATCGAGATCAAGCTTATCCATCATTTTTTTTGGAATCAAGGGTATATATTTTCTGAAGATGTATCGCATCAAATGAATATATTATTTCCAGTTTGTTGGTTACTTGCGAAAAATAAACTATTAGAAGTAATTATTTATTTGTTCCGATGATCTCACCTATTGACCCATTTGAAATTCAGACTACTAACTTTCCCACTTAATTACTAGGACAATTCGATACATTTTAATTTACCACTTTAGGTGCATTCATATTTCAAAAATGTTTGAATGGTTTTTTAATTTTTTTTAGAACTGCAATGAAAACGTTGAAATCTGTACCTTAAATCTTAGCATAAGCGCCCTCTATCGGAATTCTGAAACGTTGACAACTTCTCGAAAGACATTTTTGATTGAACGAAGTTTAATGATGGGTTGGCCAATCATTTTCTTGCTTTTTATCAATTCATACTTAATCGTAGCTCATAATTTTACCGAGTCTCGTGTTTTTGTGGATATTTTCAAGGATATCGCTTCAAGGATGTTTAATAATGCTTATATTCAACACTGGAAATTCTTAATAAATAGCGATCCAATTCATGTGTAGAACGTATGAATAACTCGCCCTACTATACCGTCACATTTTGATCCATACTATCTGTTGAACCCGCCCGACTAAAGCTTCCAATCCCAGAATACGTACCATCTGGAAGTCCAATGAGGCGCTTCTCGCAGCAGTAGTCTTCTGGGACCTTTTTGATTATCTTCAGTGGCCAGGACGTCGTCCGCTGCTGTGCGGGTACGGGTGTTTGGTGTTTGGGTGTGGGTGCGTGTGTGCATGAATATATGAATGAACACAGCCAGCTGAGCTGAGTGGAGTCGAGTTGTGTTGAGTTGAGTCCATTGTTAAACAGTGGGGTACTCCGCGCTGGTGTGTGTTCGTTGCGGTGGTGTGTGTGCAGTGTGTGGGTGTGTGGGTGGGGGTGTGCCCCAGCTTGTGTGCGCCGCCAGAATGTTTGACTTTGTATAATAAAAAGGCCTCTTTAAAAACATTAACAACTTTTGTAGTGCCTAAACGCCTGCTGCATGTGCCCACCCGAAGACAGCCAATGCCACCCACTAGCACTCCCACACACTCCACACACAGGCTAAGCTCAACTAAACATCTAAACAGGCGGCCAAAACGATGCCACCTGCTACTTAAATATGCGTGCTGCACTGAGAGAAATGCAGTGGCAACAGGGCTATGATTATGATTGATATTTTCGTCATACATCTCATACAGTTCTCGCTTGTGACCCATTTAACTTGAAGTACTGATACTATTGCCTCACCTTTTTATCACGGGTGGTTTAACTTTGATAGTTGTCCGTATCAAAGTTTAAGTGTCTTATTTTTCGCAGCGCAGTAACGTTTATTAGCGCTCTGGGCTCGTTAGCAATGGGAGTCGTAGGCAAACCCTGGAAGCCAGCGCCTCCCATTCGTCCTGTTGGCGACCACAAAGCCCATGGCTAAATCATATTAGAGGCGTCCTCCGGTTGGCCACGGGCTTAACGCTCCGGAGGAGCCTTTTTAACGCCTCCTGCCCGCGTTCCATTGAATACTCGTGTATGGTGTGTGGTGTGGTGTGTGGTGTGTGTTGTGTGGTGCATGTGCTGTGTTTGGCGCAGTGGGAAAAGTGTCAGTCGAGTGTTCCAGGCGGATGCGCCAGTTGAGGTCGAGCGAGCGGGGAGGAAGGAGCTGGGACGCGGGCAAATGTCCACGGAATGCGGGCAAAGAAAGAGAGGGCCAGAGGGGCGATGACAGAGACAGGTAGAACTCCAAATGCCACTCAAAAGCTGCATTGCATTGCAGACATTCACAATTATGCTTGGATATGCCGGACCATTAGCATATTTAAAGCGGCGATAGTTAAGGACACTTGGAGAAACCCACGAACAATATAAATAAACATTTAATAGATATGTAATACCTTTGCTGATTTACCTTTCTTCCACATTCATATTCATATTTATATGTGTTCCTTGCCTTATTTGGAGAATATTTTCTATGTTCAGAATTAAACAAGTTATTAGATAAGTGAACTTTTTCTTCCTGCCGCCTCCTAATCGATGGATGTTTTCAGGCCAGCCAAGTGGGGCTGCCTAGACTCGCTCCTCGCCATCGCCATCGCCATGGCCATCGTGCTCGTCCTCGTCCCATTTGCATCCACATTCCCAATCAAATCCCATCCCGCAATCAATTTGCAAATTTGCTGTGCCCTCCCCGCGTCAAATGTCAGTTTGGTTTCATTTTCATTTGCATTGTCCGAAAGTCCCCGCCGCCCGGATTTGTTTGTGGGTAATGTTTAAATTCCTGATGCCATTTACACATGTTCAACATGACATAATCGCCTCGGAAATTATTTAGAAAGAAAGTGGGTTGGGCGGTGCGTATCCCCGTTCCGGCCACGTTGCCCTCGAAAATCGGAACTTGGACATGTGTGTCTATATCCACATTGTAAGTCTCTGCTCGGGGCCGGAAAATTACATCTCTGGGATTTGATAATAAACTAATTTTCTCCAGCTCCGGCTTCCCCAGCTGCCAGCAGCTTTCTCTTTTATTCATGAATACGCAATTAGTGTGCAAATTCGAGTGTTTCCCGTGTCGCCGGGCTGTTTGTATTTACATACACCTATCGATTATTGAAACTAAATTCATTTCGAGTTAAATATTCAATTTGAGTCGGCTTTCATTGCACCGCTTGATATTTTCGGCATTGGCAGCTGGCCAAATGTGAGTCGCCGAAAATGCAGGCAATTATTGTCCAATTTTCAACTCCAAACATGCTCGTGTTCTATACCGGGTCATATCGTAAATATTCTTCAACGGATTCCGTTTGAAATGGCCAAACAAATCTGTTTTCGGAGTGCGAAACTGTGATTGTGTAGTCTTTAATAGCTTGCCGCTCATCTATATCAAGAATGAAATTTTTACGCAATTTAATTCGCGATAACTAATAAATTATCAAATAAATAAATATAACACTAAATTCAAGGTGGCTATTAGGGGGGCCTGTTTTCGATTTTCCCAGATTCATTGACTTTTCCACTCCAGCTGAGGGAAAATTCTGCCCGGCTTAATTGGCCGCATCATATCATGTCTAGTCACATAACTTCAGGTGAATTTATGATGCCTTATCATAGGGGCACACCGAAACACGGCGGTGTGGTCCCTGGCTATACATTTTGACTAATTGGCGTTACAACTCAATCGAAAATGCATGGAGCGACGGAGCCAACGCCTCGTCGTGATGGTCTAATAACTGGGGCTAGTCATTACGAAGATTATTATTAATCCCACAGAAAACTAATTGCCTTTGTATCTGCGCTTGTTTGGCTTTCAGTTCTTCACACCTCGGCGAGTTTAGCGCTAAACGAAAGCTGGGATCCAGACGTCAGGTGAGTACGTGAGCATGGAGATGATGCATCCTATCTGAACTATTGTCTTGCAGAGACGACATGGAGATGATGTTGAATAAAATAGTTCCCGAAGGTTTGCCCTACAGGCATTCGTGCGAGGGACCCGACGACATGGTGAGTAATCTTGCCGAGACCTCAGGAACTCAGGCCAGGCTCTAGAACTAGACTCGTCGAGCTAGCCTTGTCCGTTTTGTCCGGATGCCTGTCCGTATGTCAGTCCGCATAAGCGTTGAAATCCTGGAAGCTGAGGTTAAGTAGTCTGTCCAGGTGAATGCGGATTGCTTATGATAAGCACTGATATGAGGTTTCAAGCAACTATTTAAACCATCGCTAGATTGAGCTACCGCTTGGAAGTAAGGCGTATCTGGTAGTCGAGGCACTCGTTCTCTGTTGTTTTGCTTTGAGCGCTCCAATAACCAATCCAATGTCCTTTCAGCCCGCGCACGTGAAGGCCTGCTTCCTGGGCAGCTCCCTGACAATCCCGATCACCGACGGCAAGCTGTCGCTGGGAACGTGGCAGGGCGTTTGGCTGTGCGAGCACCGCGACCAGGCCGGATCCCGGAAGCTGGTGATCACGCTGACCGGCTGTCCGCGCGAACAGGCCCGCAGTCCGCTGTCACCCGTCTCGCCGATCGCCAGCACGTCCAGTTAGGGGCGGCCTCGCTCCACCCGCGACAGCCGGTAATCGCGGGGGAGCGACAATAATGCCATCATTTCGTCGAGGCGGCTGATACTGCAGAAGAACTTGGCTAAGGCGAACCTGGCGCAGCAGCGGGCGGCGGCGGTGATTGCCGCCGGTCGGGGAGGCTTGGGTGGCGGTCACCAGGATGCCCTGGCGCCACCCAATATCCCCGGCATGGAGACTAAGACCGGTCGCCTTCTGCTCCGCCAGCAGCTGCACCTCAATCTCAATCTGAATGTGCAGGAAACGTTGCGCGATGGCGTCGATATCGATGATGTGGACGAGGATGTCGACGAGGACCTAGACCTAGAAACCGTCACAACAGTGCCTCTTAACAATGAACAACTTAATGCTAAGGTCACCACCACAACATCCAGTTCATCAGCAGCGAGCAGTGCATTAGCTAAATTCAATCGCATCATAGACTCCACATTGGAGCGACCACCAGTGGCCGTAGACTACTCCGGATTGCCCCAGCTGAGCAGTGCCACACTGCAGCAGCGCTTCAACCTGGCCTATCCGGAGTTGGTGATCCAACAGCAGCAGCAGCAGCAGCAGCAACATCACCACCAGCAACATGATGCGACCAAGCAGATCAGCAGCCTCCAGGGGAACCCCAGATTGGATCGTGGAACGGACGCCGTTGCCAGCACTCCATTAACACTTCAAGCACCCAGAACTCCAGCAACGGCGACGAAGGAGCAACTGGATTTGGGGCATCCCCACGACGACGCAGACGTCGTCGACCACGATGATCATCCCCACCACGACGAGGATAATCAAACGAAACGAAATGATGTGCATTATTTGTTGAAACAGTTAAATAGTTTTAGTGATATAGAAGAAATAGAAATTGTTGATATGAAGCAAAGAGGTCAGCGGCCGCCGATGGCGTCCAGTTCGTTGGCCACCATGATGCCGCCGCCCTCGCCAGCACCGCCGGCCTCCCCATCCACGCAGTCACATCGACTGGGTCCGCGGTTCGCCTCCTCCGGCGACAGTTCGCTGGTCCTGCCGCAGAACCAATTCGACGACTACCTGTTCGAGTCCTGCCACTACCTGGAGACAAACTACTTTGCCGCCACATACCGCACTGCCATGGTCGAGAGCAGCTCCCACGAGTTCCGGCCCTCGACCAACAGCAGCTCGAACAGCTTCGAGCTGCACGAGATGGAGCCGCCCAGTGTCATCTGCAAGGCGGGGGCGCCGCCTTCCCTGGTTGTCAGTCATCCTGGTCATCTGGGTCATCCTGGTCATCCGCCGCCGCGGTACCAATTCGAGTACCAGGCGGAGACCCGGCTGACCACCAGTGGGGTGCAGACGGAGCTCACCGTCGAATCGCTGGCCAAGATGAGCAACTGCAGCGGGAGCAGCTCCTCCTCCTCGACGGCGACGAGGGCTCCTCCCTTCTTCCGGTGCTGCTACACGCCCATCGATCGCTGGCGGGAGAGGAGGCAGCATCAGAAGAGCTCCTCCGCCTCCGCCTCCTCGTCCGCCGCACAACCGCCCAAGAACGTCTGACACTGGGCGTGGCAGTCCACTTGGAGACCCAACATGTGCCTGGCTAACTTAGATCAGGGATGCAAGCCAAAGGGAATTGGGATGGGTTCGGAATTCACAATCATGGTTCGGTTCAGCGGGTTATGTGAATGGTATCCACTTGAAATTAAGGAAGTTATCAGAAGCTTTCGGGGATCGGAATTCATATCCACAATGATTTCAAGTTCGAAATACTTTCGCCAAAACTAGTTTTTCTAAAATTCTGGTCTTTGATTAATACTAGATTTCCCGAACCACTAGCCTTACGAAATATGATACAATATGGATGGTTTGCATCCCTGTTATTTTGGTCGCTGTTCTCATTTGCGATATCAACAAGAGATTCCATTTCGATCGACAGTCGATACACGAATCACGAATCATGAATCACGAATCCCTAATCATTCGGTGGAAGTTGATTATGTACAATTTATATATTCTAAAACGTAAACAAGAAATGTTATTAAACAATTTTTATACACACACCAGCCACACAGACATCGCACATTTTTGCAATACACCAAAGTAAGTGATTTCGAAGTTTGTATAATAACCTAAGAGTTGTTACATGTTCAGCTGAAAACCTGGCTAGCCATTAGCTACCGATTCCCATTGAACTCCCATTCACCGGCTTTCCCTTCCAGCGTTTCCCCATTGAGCTAGCCAAGTTTTCCGCTGGGCATCTACCTGAGCTGAACTCAACTTAGGCCTAAAGTTGTATTCGAAAGCGTTTCAGCAGGGGAAGATTAGGAAGATATTGTTACAAATGATTGAGAAACGAGGGGACGCGAGAGCTTGTATAGTAAGTTGATAAATAAATAACATTATCATTATGGAGAATCATGTTGAAAGTGGCCAGATCAAACGGACGCCTTCGTCCGCACGCTGGCACTTTTGTTTTAAGCCTAGATTCTAGATTCTAGATTCCAGATGCTAGATTCAAGATTCTAGATTCCGATTCTCGCGGCTTAGCAAGTCCATTGGCCTTGGCCGTTTATATACATATAGCACTCAACTTGGGAAGATATCAGCGAGCGCCTGGGCTTAGTGATCCCCAGACGGGTTAAAAGCGAAATTGAAACGGACACAAAGCAATTGTTACATCAATTAGACACTATATTCTGTTGACTGTCATTTATCCCGATTATTGTTTCGGAAGAGAAGCTTTTAAGGAATTGTTGTTAGAGCACAAGAGATACTGGCTATGCAAGCAAACCAAATAGGACACAATTCAACTCTAAGCCAACCAAGAGCAATATTAGTTCTTAAATCAGTTCGGATTCGTCAATTCTGTTGATAGCATATGCAAGTAAATACATCAAATATATCACTACCTTTAATAAGCCTCGAGATCACGCTTCGGTTTTTCGGAAAATAAATATACATATATGCGCATTGGAACACCTCTAGTACTGAGTTTATTTCACCAATTTCCCGCTGCATCTCAATCGATCAAAGGAACTGAGACTCACTCTGGTTTCAGGATCTTCGGCTGAGTTCTTCCAACTGCAAATCCGCCAATCCGCCAATCCGCAAAACTGAGAAACCGGCTACACCTGCAATCCGGGGGAAACACCACGAGAAACGAAATGAAAACCAAACAAATGCCTTTAACCTGCCCACTCTTACACTAAAAAAAAAACAATACGAAAGTAGCCCAAGATGGTAACCAATGTTAGTCGATAGTGCGCTGAGCAAAACGCAAATCCCTGTAAATCACGAGCGAAGCGAACTAATTTACTTAAAATATATATATCAACACGTTGATTATGTTAATCATTACGAACGACATAACAAATAAGTTGTTATCAAACGAGAAAGTAATGGGGATAATGGGGCATATAACGTTAGAGTAACTACCTATTGTTGTATTGTTTGTTTTATTCGAAGCGCACGAAATGTAATAAACATTTAAGTAATTGCTAGAGCAAAACCAAAAATGGAAATGAAAGAGGGAAAGGGGCGGAAAAGTCGAGAAAAACCGTAGCTAAAGTGAAATTTTTGTAAACTTTTTGATATGTGATGATGATTTGGATAAATTAGAGCCACAGTGGAGAGAATTATTACCTTAACCTAGTCGTAGATATTAAATCTTATTAAAATGAGTAGCGCAAATGCCAGCGGGCAAAACGGAGGGGAACTAGCTGAATTCTAGGGAGGATTAGCATTTGGCCAGTTGTTATGCAATAATCGTAGTCTCGGCCAGCCGAAGCACCAATCAGGGCTCCTTCCGGCATTGGGATCATGTCGATCAGATCTACACATCTATGTAGATCCGATCTGATACGATCCAGAGGGAACTGTTATTAGCAATACTGAATATTCATGGCAATTCAAATGTATAATTGTATTAACGAGACATTGATAAATCTGAATAGGGAGCGCATTGTAGGAGCCTAGTTAATCGAACCGAAACCCAGATGAGATACGAACTCAAAACGATCCGATCAGATTGAAATGAATACTAAGTGTAACTAAGCGAGTAAGTAGAAAATATTCAATTGTAAATAGGACTTCATTTACAATCTCTTGGTTTGTTGATTGTTTTCGATTCAGACAATTATGCGTTAGCCATGAAGGGGAGATATGCGGATATATGGATATATTACCGACACGAGTAATCACACACGAAAAAGCTTTAATTAATTTAATTACCGGAAAGGAAACCAAGTGAACGTACTACAAGATATGTATTTACAATACTCATTTTTGATATCATTCCCATTGGTAACGTACGGATTCCATTGTAGATACCTATTGAGCAGCCAGTAATTAATTAACTAGTCCGCTAAGTCGTCAATGTCGCCTAATGTGAGTTCTATATATTGCATCAGATAATACAATAACAGAGCATTTTAGCTGTAAACCAATCCAGAGGCAACTAATTAAAAAACAAACAGACCTGGAACACCCGAAATCCACTTAAGACAAGTAGACAAACACCACACACACACACACACACACCCACACACTCACACACTCGACACACTAAGCTTTTATAAACTATTTAACAAAAATATATATATATATATACTATGGAAAATAATAATCCTGCCAAGTAACATTCGAATACCTGCTTGAAGAAGATACACCCGCTTTTGCTAAGAAACCAAAACGAAACAAAACGAAACGAAACAAAACCAAGATTTAAACCAAGATGACGAGAAATGTAATGAAACCAAAAATAGAGACAGATCTAGAGAGACACTATGGCTAAATACGATTTTTATACTTTCGATAAAATGATTTTTTATACTAAACGTAAAAACTGTTTGAAGCAAAACGCGCGGACGTGGCGATTTCAGAATCACTTTGATTTGGGTCAAGAAATAAAGGTCATATTATAGTTATATATATAGTATCCGTAAATAATATGTGTAAAGCCCTAACTGCAACTATGGAACGACAGCACAAATTTTCTTGAGCAAGGGGAAAACAGCCCGAAAAAGCTGACAGGTGGGGAGAACAAAAATCAAATACTGACTAAAGCAGAAAAAATCGTTTTTAAGTCCAGTTCTCAACACACCCACACCGACACCCACACACACACACTCTCTCACACCACACAGACACACACACCACACAGACACACACACCCACGTGCAGCAACATAAAATCAAATATATACTAAATATATAAACATTTATGTATATATTTAGCAAACGAGTAAATAAACCACACCCGCACAAATCGCTCACATAAACGAATTACGAATTAACTATGCTTTGTAAGCCCAAAAAGGCGAAAAACCGAATCCACGACCCGCGCCAGCAAAAATCTGAAGCGGAAGCGGAAATGTCCACAAACTTAGCCTGCGACAGCCATTTTTGTATGAGCAAACAACTAAAATTTGTAAATATATATTTCTTGATTTTATCGAAAAGCAAAAGCGATACACTGAGATCATTCGAGTCCTTAGTTTTATCCTAATTGCAACCGAAACTCTTTTTCTATATCTATCCAGATATCGAGGTACATAAGCGAGAGCATACTTTAAATGGAAAATTATACCAAGAGTAATGAACAATGTCAACTACAATAAATTAGCAAAATGGAGGCGGGAGGAGTGAATGAAATTAAATATTAGTGCAATAATTAACAAATTATTCGGTAAAATTAAAATGGAATACATCTAAGTAAACGCTTTGTAAAATACATATAAACAATTTATTAAATGGAAAAGGAAAATGGAAAACATTAAAAACGAATAAAACCCAGAGGAATGGAAAATGAAACACTATTGAGTAATAAAAGCATTGACATTGACATTGACATTGACACACGTGATTCGATATCTCATCTAATAAGCATAAATCAATAAGAAAATAATAAAGAGAAATTAAAGAAAATGCAAAACGAACCTCTTGTTCTTCAGTATTGTGCTACTTAGCGAGTTACATTTATTTAACAATAAATTGGCATTGGCTTTAGATATTACGGACATCCCAACGGGTCTGATAATCACTAAGCTCTTCAAGTACTTAAAGGCTACAATTGACATTACGGCTGCTTCATGACAGTGCGAATATACTTGAGGACGTCCGGATTGGACAGGATGTGCATGTGGTCCACGTTCTGAAGGGCCAGTGTGTTTATAGGGGCGCTGGAATAGCCCGTCCAATACTGGCAGGCTCTCAGCGAACGCTGGTTAACAGTGCCGTCGCCGAGACCCATTATCAACTTGGGCGTTTCCCCATTAATGTCCGATTTCTTGTACTGCAGTCTGTTGAGGGGTAGAGGTGAATTAGTTGAATTCTTGACCGCAGAAGTAGCTAAACTTACCGCTCAACCGTGTCAATGCCATCGCCATAGAGACAGTGCAGTTCCACATTCGGTGGGTTGAAGTTTCGGTTGTACCGAATCGTGTCCTTGCGCATTTCCCAGCCCGTCATGTAGTCGAGGTCGTTGAAGAACTCTTTGAGCTGTGCCATCGTATAGTTTCTGCTTGGGGTCGTGGCCAGCAGCTCGGATGGCTTCCAAAACAATGGCGATGGCAACAACCAAGCAGTGGAT